TTTAATAACCATGCCTTACACAATCCTACATAATAAAATCGATGAAGTGAAAATTTCCAGGCCTCTTTATTCATCAGAGTAATTGGTACTGCCAGAAAGGTATGTGAGTTGACTATAAAGTAACTCTGTAAACTCAGAGTTCTCTAGTCTTAACATCGTTAGATCCATACCTATTCTTTTAATAATCATTCTACATATTATTAATGGTTATTTCTCCTTAAAGTTTCTGATACAGTGATACATTTTTTTCAAATACTGTTTTATCTCTAATATTGAAAGAAAAAAGGAACTAAGTACCTTGGCATCTAGTTAAGACACAAAAATCTTATAATATTTTTACTTCCAAATTACTTTTCATTAACAGGGCTAAATCCCCTTTAGTCAATTAAAATGACAAAAATTAGTTATTGATAAAAGCATACTAACATTCTATGCAAAATGATTCTCAACTAAATGGAATTTACCATAATAGGGAATGTAGACAATTGCTAAGAATATAATAGAATAAAAATAATAAACAACATAGTTAAATTATTAGCATATTCTGAATGTATTATGATGTTCTATCAAGGGAAAACTAAATCGTCTAATCTACTTTTATTCATATTATGTTTGTACAGTTGATTTGTCTTTACAACTTGTTTTTTTTAAGTATGAGAAATGGTCACAGAATAGAAACTGAATGTGGAGTGCCTCCAGGAAAGCTTACATTACATATTTGGCTATTTCCCAAGATACCAGCTTGCCAGACAAAGCAGATTTAAGTACACATTACTTTGGATCTTATTTAAATAGGGTCCATTTCTCAGTCTGTTAGTCTGTTATGTATCCTCTGGACACACAAGTTGAGTTCTCTTTGAAGTCAATAGGATCACCAAGTTCAGTGAGCTCTTTGGGTTCAGAGAGAATAATGAAAAATGTTTCTGGGGAGGAATTTTTTATTCCTTAGCAACATCTTTGCTCTGTATACACTATTAAAGTAAAATAACTTCTAGTGTGTGTTCTCAGTTGTCACAGAGGCATTCATTAAAAACCAAGGGTATGCACACCCAATTTTATGGCTTAAAAAAACGGAAAGAAAGAAAACCAAGGCTAGCTAAAGGATGAATATACTGGGAAAATGAAAACTAAGCAGTATAATATAACATAGCAGTATTATATTAATATATTATAAATACTCATGTTCATCTGGCCATTTAGGTACCTGTCCCATTGAACATTCATCACATAAACTAATATTTTGGAATTTAGATTTCTAAGAAAAAAGAACTTTCTCTAATTCTATTTTATATAACATTCAGCAAACTTGGGAAATAAATTTCTATTTGATAAAACTATGTTGATAAGTTTCTTACATTGTCATGAAAAATGTTTAATTAAAGCCTGCCCAGAATTCATTTATTTATTCAACAATTAACTTTCCAACCATTACACAAATGGTCTCTAATTTATCTGTTACATGAATACTTTTTTTTTTTTTTTTTTTGGTTTAAGTGCCGCCAATGACGAAGACAACTCAGGATGTATGATTTAATTTTTCAATATTTCAAAACAGATTTTTCTGAAAACCTTTAAACATTTGAGAATAACTGGGAATTTCTCCCTTAAATGTCCTTTCCATCATATTGAGAATCCTTAGCTCTAATCTTGAGTTGTTTCCACATGCAGACTGTTTACAAGCTCCTTTAGCATTTTGACTGCTTTTTTGGGAGATATACATTAATTTGCCAGGAAGCAGCTGAATGTGTGGTGGCTAGAAGAGAAAAGCGCACATCAGGTACACTTGGCCAACAAACCAAAAACAAAAAATTAGCATCATGACTGCTTTGGATATTTTTTTCTCAATGTAATCTGGTCATTTTAGCTTTTCCTGACTCACATTATACTATAGGCTTATAATGAGTTTGCTTTCAAATAAAACCTAGATTCTACCACTCTCCCCTCAACTCCTTTCTGCGTGTTATAATGGCACACTTCAGCTATTCTTTTCATGGATAATTATTTTTGAGCTTAAATGTCAAATTTTGTTTATTGATTAACCTATTTTCTCTAAATATAGTTAGAAAAAATAGTAGCAAATGCTTATATAGTACTTACTATACACGAGGTAATTTTAAGAGCTTACATACATTAACTTTAAAATCTAATATACTTAGTGCTTTCATTCCCAACTCTATAATCCTCTTAGAATGCTCTCAAAAACTTCCGTGATTTGTCTGGTAATTAAAAGGAATAAGTATGATAATCTGCATTTACCAAGTACTGTTTCAAGCATTGTGCTAAGTTTATTATTTTTTCTGTTATGTTACTTAATTTTTGCCCAAGCTTTATGAGCTAGGTATATGTACAATACTCACT